GAGCATGAGTGTGTGCATGCGATAGTAGAACCTGGGTCTTATGAATAATCAGGACCCCCAGGGACACAAGACAGTCAACTACCCGAACCCTTCCCCACTGCTATATCACTGCTCTGTCCTAGGCTCTTCTATGAGTACCATTTCTTCTTTGGCTTAGCCCCTGCCTACTTGTCCACATCGTTTTTATTTATTTCCCAGATCTTGCTGTAAATTCAGCTGCCTTCAAGACTCAAGGTCACAGTCATAGTTAAACAGCAATGTAATTTGATTTAGTATAAGCATAATAAAATATAAAGCAAAAGACATATATTATAGAATGTAACATTTCACTCAGGCCTAATGACCCAAACTGCTCCACCACTCCAGGGCAGGAAAAATTCCTGTTAATGTTGCCATTCATTTCCCAGCCCAATGTGTCCTTCCTATCCAATGTCTGGATTGCAGGGAAATGTATTAGCTAGTCTTAAACATTACAACTCCTAGCTGTATAGCCCAATATATAAGGAGACGTGGTCTAAACTCATAACAGATTGGGCATCTTAAAGTTCAGAAATCTTACACTGTGCCAAAAGGGCTATAAAACTGTGCATACCCTTTGATCCAGCAATACCACTACTAGGTCTGTATCTCAAAGAGAGAAAAAAAAAAGGGAAAAGGAACAATTTATATAAAAAAACCTAAAAAACAAAAATCAAAAAACTTACAGCAGCTCTTTTTTTGTGGTTGCAAGAATCTGAAATTCAGGGGATGTTCATCAATTGGGGAATGGCTGACCAAGTTGTGTTTTATGATTGTAATGGAATATTATTATGCTATAAGAAATGGCAAGCAGGTTATTTCAGAAAAACCTGGAAAGACTTACGTGAACTGATGTGGAGTGAAGTAAGCAGAACCAGAGGAGAACATTGTATAGAGTAACAGCACTACTGTACAATAAATAACTATGAATGACAGCTATTCTCAGCAACATAATGATCCAAGACAATCTCAAAGGACTCCTGATGAAAAATGCTATCTGCCTCCAGAGAAAGAACTGATGGTGTCTGAAATATAGACTGAAGCATACTATTTTCCACTTTTTTTCTTCTTTTTTTCTTTTGATTTTCTTTCACAAAATGACTAATATGGACATATGTTTTACATGATTACATATTTATAACCTATATCAGATTACTTATCTTCTCAAGGAGGGGGAGAGAAGAAAAGGAAGGAGAGAATTTTGAACTCAAAACTCAAAAAAAACCCAAATGTAAAAAATTGGTTTCACATGTAATTTGGGGAAAAAAATCAAAATATTATTAAAAAAAAAAAGAAATCTCCTTCCACACTCTATCCCAAGTCCAGCAATTGTTTGTTTCTCCTCTGGCACCTTTCTTTCAGTCTTCTTTCACTCCTACTATGGCCATGGCCAAGCATCCCCCTGTTCTTGAAGTGTCACTTTCAGTGGATAAGGTTGTTACTTCAAGGTTCCTTCGGCCAGTGATGCCAGCAGTAAGAGACCATTGGGGCCACCTCTGTATCAGGAGCCTTCCAACCCTCCAAACTGCCCTATTGGCCCCTCTAGCCCTCAGCCCCTACAATGCATCTTGGGAAGCAGAGTGGACTAACGAAATGAGGACGTTGAGTCCTGGCAAGGGAGCTAGAACAATTCTGTTACACAGGTAACCAAAGAAAGGCTCATGGTCAGATAATGAGATTCTTTTGTGTAGCAGTTTCTATATCTAGGCTTATTACTAATTAGCTCTGCAACCTTGATCAAGTTACTTCTCTCTCTGAGCCTCATTTTCCGCATCTGTAAGATATCTGTAAGATATCTGCTAATTGTTGTGAAGGTCAAATGAATTCATGTATTTGAAAATACCATTTACAAATCAATCTTATTATTAGATAACAAGACTTTTTCAAAAAAGCATTTTGGTGACACACAGTGGCAAAATACCAAGACACAACATCTTTAAAAGCCTTCTTCTATGCCATTCCCTATGTCCTGCTCATTCTGAATACAGAATGCTCTGGGTTATTCAACCCATTTTCCGCTATAGAAGGAAGGGTTTCTGACTATAAATACATGTGCTTCCTATCTGTTAAGGTATTTACAGCAATACAGTAGATTTTATTGATCTCAGTGGGGACAGAGGAGGAGGGCCAAGCTGTGGTGCTTCTGGATGAGTAAAATGAAGAAATCCTAGGGCACCAAGGAAGAGCTCTTATCTCATGAGTCAATTGAAAGGCTCCAAACTGAAAAGACCATTTTTGTTTTGTTTTGTTTTAATTTTGTTTTATATTTTATTTATAGTATTTTATATTATCTTTTATATTATGAACTTGACAATCATCAAAATCACAGATATGCCAAGAAAAACATAGAAGATTGTACATGAAATTATGGACTTCTAGTTTGGATTGTTAGGAAGTACATACTAACAATATAGTGACAGCATTTTTTCTGTTTGTGAACCTTCTAAACATCTTTTTGCCTTCTGTATAATTTTCAGTGTTTTATTGATGCTATTTTTTCCCTATCAGCTCTATCCCTAACCATTAACAACCTTTAAGTAGAAACTTTTCATTAAAAATGTTTTTATAAACATCAACAAATGTGGACATAAATAGAAAAAGAGAATTCCCTATAAAGCCTAGATGCAGGGGTGGGGAGCCTGCAACCTTGAGGCTACATGTGGCCTTCTAGGTCCTCAAGTGGGGCCCTTTGACTAAATCTAACAGTCAAAAGGCCATACTTGAGGACCTAGAGGGCCACATGTAGCCTTAAGGCTGGGGCTGCAGGTCCTCGTCGCCCCCCCCCAGTCTCTTAAGTACAGCTTATTTTTTTAAAGTACATTTTCATTCAACACAGTTTTACCAGTAGGGGCCTGCTAGTCTTGTTCCCTTCTGAATTTCTTTAATACACTTTTCTTTGTATTTTAAAAACATTGCTTGAAGGTCTTTTTTCCCCCTTCTTTTTCGGACATCACTATAACTAACCTCTTATTTCCCATAATAAATTTCTTCCCCAACCCTATCACAACAAACAAATAAACACATGAATATTTAATGAATAAAGACATAAATAAATATATGAATAAATACAAATAAATAAATGAATAAGTGAACAAATAAATAGACTGATAAATGAACAAATTAATAAATAAAATTCTCCCCTGTAACAAATAAGCATAGCCAGGAAAAACAAATCCACACATTGGCTATTCTGAAAAATGTATATCTTGTTCTGTACATCTTTTCCATCACCTGCCTATCAAAAGCATGATTCTTCATTTGTCTTTTGGAGTCATGATTACTCATTGTTTTGATCAGAATTCTTAAGTCTTTCAAAGTTGCTTTCCTTTACAATACTGTAGTCATTGTATAAATTGTTCTGGTTCTGTTCATTTCACTCTGCATCAATTCATAAACTCTTTCCAGGTTTTTCTGAATCTCCTTTACACACACACACACACACACACACACACATATAATGGAGCAACATTACTCCAATTATATTTCTTTAAAAATTTATATTTTATTATTAATTTATGAAATAAAACAAGCATTTCCATAACATAGTAGAATAAAAAAGATGATTGCACATGGAACTGCAAACCTATTACATGTCACTTGCTATTCCTTTTAAATATATAATATCTTTTTCTCCCTTTTTTGTTCCCTCCCAATTCCCCCCGCCCCCAGCATCCACACTACAGATGGCTACCATGAGACACAAATATGCATATATTTGTAAAACCATTCTGTACATACTTCTATTTATCAGTTCTTTCTGGATGCAGATAGTGTCTTCCTTCATATGTCCTTTGTAGTTAATTTGGATATTTATAATACTCAAAATGACTTAGTCACTCAAAGTTCTTCTTAAAACAATATTGCTGTTACTGTTTACAACGTTTTCTTGGTTCTGCTCATTTCGCTCTTTATTATTTTGTGCAAGTCTATCCATGCTTTTCTAAAATCAACGAGCTCATCATTTCTTATAGCACAGTAGTGCTATAGCTATAGCTAGTAGTGCTATTCCCTCATGATCATATACTTCAACTTGTTCAGTCATGACTCAATTGATGGGCATCCCCTCAATTTCCAGTTCTTTGTCACCTCAAAGAGAGGTATGTTTCATCACCAGTCTTCTAAAATCATGCTAAGTCCCTGAGTGGCTCTCACCTCTGTACCTCTATCACTAAGCTAGGTACCTGAATGACAACCCTCTTACTAAGTGGGACCCTGAGCCACAAATGAAAGACTAAGTATGATGTAGCGGAACAGTGCTGAATCTGGAATCAATGGACCTGTGTTTATTTAATCTTGGCTCTACTACTTGTTTCTTGTGTGACCTTGGGCAACTCAGTACACCTCTCTGAGACTTAATCTGTGGTGGTCTGTTTGCTTCTTTCTTTCTTTCTTTCTTTCTTTCTTTCTTTCTTTCTTTCTTTCTTTCTTTCTTTCTTTCTTTCTTTCTTTCTTTCTCTCTCTTCTCTCTCTCTCTCTCTCTCTCTCTCTCTCTCTCTCTCTCTCTCTCTCTTGCAATCAGGGATAAGTGACTTGCCCAGGGTCACACAGCTATTAAGTGTCTAAGGCTGGTCCTCCTGATTCCAGAGCTGGTGATCTGTCACTGCATTACCTTGCTGCCCCATGGACGTCTGTTTTTTTAAAGCCCAAAGTCTCTTCCCATTTCTCTGAATAGATGTAAAATTATCATTTATCTTTATCTAATTACTATATAATTGTTCTTTATTCATTATTAAAATTACAAGGTTCAAGATTACAGGTAGGAAAAGGCTTGGAAAGCTTGCTTTTTGTGGAGATGACTTTTTTTTAGTTTTTTCTAAAATGTTAATTTTTAAATGGCTACTTTTCTTACTTATTGGCTAGAATGATATACTTTTTTATTCAGAAATGGAAAAGTTGAATTCCCCCTCCCAGATGCCTCGTGAACACTATATACTACTTTAAATAAAGTCATATAATTTTTTTTGCCAAGATATTTTGACGATATCAATATCAGAATTGTCTTTTAATGAATAATCCCAGCAATATTCTGGGGATAATATTTTAGTGGGTTTGTTTGTTAAGAAAAAAAATACTTGTTCAGGTGGCTTTCTTCATGCCACACAGCCTCAATGCCATTTTTCTTATCCTGAAGTATTCCCTTGTCACAAGCTTGGGTGAGTTTCAAAACCTGAAGGGGTGTCCCACCAAAAATGGCTGCATGGTAATAGAAATCTCCGGTGTTATTGTGTATGAATGCTGTAGGAAAAGGCCGCCTTTCATATTTGAAATCATTGACATTCTTTTTATAAAACCAAGGATGGAGCTGGGCCACAGACTCACCCAGGGTCTCCACACCAAAGTAATTTTCAAAAACCTGATCCACATCCATGCAGAAGAGGAAGTCAACTTCATGCTGGATATGATTTACAATGTGCTCCCAGATGATCTTCATGCGCATCATACTAATGTCTTGCCATCTTTTTGCTCCCTGGATTCCAAATACTTTGAATGTATGAAGGGGATCCACCTCTATCCAAAGCATCTTGGAGGAGTCATCCACCATGATGTAAAAAATTGAATTGTGACCAGCCATGAAGTACTTCTCTGCAGAGGAAAGGAATTTCTCCAAGTAGTTATCAAGATACCTAGGTAGCAAATGGCAAAAGCAGTTATTTCAGTAGAAGTTAAGGGTTAGTATAAAAATGATGCCAATATATTTGCTTACCATGTAGTAAGAACTTCTTTGAGTTGACTTTCAGTTGCAGTGATAGATTAAATTAGCCACAATCTTTCCTTGTGATTAATAGCGTGGGTTTGCTAAACAATGTGTAGCTATGGAGCAAAGTTTTTCTCTACATCACAGATGCCATCCTTCTGTGAAGCTCACTGAACAACATGGGGCTTGGATATTACCCAGCTCTCATTACTATCATACTCTATATGTAATCCATTGAGAAGTATTAAGCACTTTCTTAGTGCCTGGCACTATGCTAATACCGTGAGATACAAAGACTTTTGAAATAAATGAACTATTCCTTGCTCTCATGGAGCTTACTTTCTACTGGGGGAAGACATGTACATATAAAAGTATATACAGAATAAATAGAAAATAGTTAAATATAAGGTGATAACCAGATATAGGTATACATGTAGAAGATGAGAGGAGATTCAACTATACTTAAAAAAAGGATGGCATAAAAACAAAAGATCTAGAATATTGAGGGAAATGATGAAACCAGATAGGAATGAAGGGGTAGTAGCATGTCTAGAACTTTAAACTATGTTATAAAGCAACAGTCATCAAAACCCATCCAGTATTGGTCAAAAAATAGAGAGACAGATCAATGGAATAGACTAGGTAAGAGAGAACCTGAGACAATACAGCTCAATAATCCTGTGTTTGATAAAGTGGAAAACATAAATTACCCAGGAAAGAACAGCCTATTAAAAAAAATACTGAGAAAACTGGAAAGCAGTCTGGCAGAAAATAGACTTAGGCCATATTAGACCTTATACCATATTCCATAATACACTCTAGGTGCATATACGACCTTAATATTAAAGATCATTCTCTACAAAAATTAGAAGAGAAGCAGATCATATACTTGTTATTAACTATGGATAAGAGATATATTCTTAAGCAAACAAGAGATAGAGGAAACTACAAAAGATAAAATAGATAACTTAGCTTCTGCACAGACAAAATTAAGTACAAAGGATGAGAAAGTAAGTGGTCAAGTGGGAAAAAAATCTTTGTCCATATTTCTCTGACAAGGGTTGGCATTTCATATATATATATATATATATATATATATACATATATATATATATACATATATATATATATACACACACACACACACACACACACATATACATATATATAAGCAATTAACAAATATATATGACCAACAGTCATTCTCTTATAAATGAGTGGTCAAAGGATATAAATGATTTTAGAAGAATGACAAAGTAATCTCAACCACATACAGAATACTCCAAATCACTAATAATAAGAGAAATGCAAATCAAAACAATCCTAATGTTTTACTTCACATCTGAAAACTGGCAAGGATGTCAAAAAATGGCAATCATCGATATTAGAGGGATTGTGAAATGATAGGCATGCTAATACATTGTTGGTGGAGCTGTGAATTAGTACAACCATTTGGGAAAGAAATTTAGAATTATACAAATAAACTAATTAAAATGTTCATACCTTTTGACCCAGAGACTCCATTATTGGACTTAAACCCCAAAGAATCCATTAATAAGAAGAAAGAACCACATATATAAAAATATTTATAGCAACACTTTTTTGTGATAATAAAGAATTGGAAACAAAGTAGATGTACATTGATTGGAGAATGGCTGAACAAATTGTGGTACATGAATGTAATAGGATGTTACTGTGCTATAAGAAATGGTTAATGTGATAAAGAAATGTTGTCCTTGATCAAAGAAGCATTGAAGATCTATGTGAATTAATGCAGAGTGAAGTATGCAGAGCCAAGAAAACAGTATTCATATTGAGTACAACAATGTAAATGGATAGAACAACCATACACACACACACAGACACAGACTCAAATACACAAACACACACACACCCCAAAAGGGGATGTAACAAAATTATAAAGTTCAAGAATGATTCTAATGAAGAGATATGAGAAGATACTCCCAAACTACCTATTCATGGATATGGGAGGTCCATAGATATTCCACGTTGCACATGTTTTCAATCTTTTTCAATATGTTGATTGGTTGTACTGATTTTTCTCTCTTCTTCGTCTTTTCTTTTTTTGTCTTTAGAAATACTATTTGTTGGGGCAGCTAGGTGGCATAGCGGATAGAGCACTGGCCCTGAAGTCAGGAGTCCCTGAGTTTAAATCCAGCCTCCAACCAAACACTTGACACTTACTAGCTGTGTGACCCTGGGCAAGTCACTTAACCCCAATTGCCTAAAAAAAAAATACTATTTGTTAAATAGGATATCTCTCTGGAGGGAGGAAAGGGAAGGATAATGGGGAAAGCTATGATGATATAAAAAACACAAAAGACATCCAGCAATAATTTTTTTCTAAAAAGAGGATGGTATGTTAGAGGTGAAAGATAGAATATGGACAGAATAGAATCAGAAATGGATGTGAGCTCTACCTGTAATGGACCTCCAGCACTATAAATGTCCCATGGAGGATAAGTACCCCACAGGAAGGTAGTCCTGCCTGGGCTTGACTTATCTGTACAAGATATAGGTGTGTATGTATGTGTATGTGCATCTGTGTATGAGTGCGTGTGTGTATCACACCATCTCATTTCCTTCCCATCAGAAATTTTGACTTTGCCCCTTGGTCCTTGGCTCTGATGATTGAGCTTTTACCTCATCTTTCCAGGGTCTGGGCATCTATACCACCTTTTGGTTTCATCCAAAATGTGTTGTCTGCTTTCTGAATAACATCTTCATTTCCTTTTCATAGTACTTTCAACTGTGCTTACGTCCCTTGGGTCTGAAAAGTGACCCATCACCTTATCTTACTGGAGTCCAGTGCTCCATGACATTTCCTATCATCTGTGACCATGACCCCCTTTTTTGAACACTCCTTTATTTTGTCTTCTCCCATTAGAATGTATGCTCTTTGAGGGCAAGGGTTATGTTTTGCCTTTTTATCCCCAGAGTTTAGCATTGTGCCTGGTACATGATAAGCACTTAATAACTGCTCTATCATCTGTCTGTCTGTCTATCTATCTATCTATCTATCTATCTATCTATTTCTTCTGTTAGTGGAAACTTGTACCTGTTTAGAGATGTGATAGTTATAGCTAGCATTTATATTGTACTTTAAGATTTACAAGTGATTTGAAAATATTATCACATTTTATCCCCACAACAACCTTGAGAGGTAGGAACTATTACGACACTGTTTTATAGTTAAGGAAACTAAGACAGACAGAGGGTAAGTGATTTGTCCTGGGTCACAAAGCTAGTAAGTGTCTGAGACAGGATTTAGACTCAGGTGTTCGTGACTCTAAGCCCAGCACTCTATCTACTGTGCCACTTGGCTCTTGCCTGTCTGAGTCATTCTTCTGCTAGGCTGTACTGGGTCCTCAAAGGCCACAGTATCTCTGCTGAACTGACAGTTCAGCTGGGCTTGCAGCGTCTTGCCTGGAAGGTTTAAAGTCCATAGCTGGACTGGTTCAAGATCAAGCAGGTCACTTAGATAACAGCAGAATAACTTCTCCACCACCTATACCAGTACTCTGCCCTGTAGCAAGCTTTGTATGGACCCTACTGGGACAGAAAGGGCAAAGAGCCCCTACTGTTCCAGAACTGTGTGTTGTCTTAGCCACAGGTGGCTCCTGACACATGTGCTTTATTGGGTTCTATGTGTATTTGTAGGAAAGTGTGCCCAGGTTTTGGGTGAAATGCTTTGTAACCACTGCTTTTGCTATACCATTTGAATAAATGTTTTTGCTAAAAAGTTGAGTCTACTGGCTGATTGTCAGGAGGAACTCATTGGTAGGGGCTTGTGGGCTGCAGTGTTAGATAGACAGCCATTCACAGGATTACCTCTAGAACATGTGCTAGCATCTTTCCTTCTGGGGACCCTATCTGCTAATGCTACTATAAGTTAAGGAAGCAATTCCAGAAGGGGTTGCTATAGGTACATGGAAAGGATAGCTACTGTAATAGAATAACAATAATAGCTCACAGTTATATAACGCTTCATTTGTGAAGCACTTTGTATAGTATCTTATTTGAACTTACAGCTTCCTTATGAGGTGGTCCTTATTTTATCACCATTTTAGAAACAAGGACATTGAGTCTCAGAGATGTTATATGACTTATTCTAGAGTCATATAGCTAGTACATATTGAAGACAGGATTTGAACTCAGGCTTCCCTGACTGCAAAACCAATGGTCAATCCACTATGCCATGCTGCCTCTCATTAAATATTTTGGAACATACCTGGGACTTAATTGATCTTGACAAACTCCCTTTACCAATAGAGATCAGCACCTGTTCTTCAACTTAGATTCTTTTTTTTCTTTTCTTCTTTAGTGAGCTGCTATTTAATTTTATTTCAAATAATATCTTAGTTTTTCCCAATTACATGTAAAAACCAACTTCGATCTTAAAGTGTTGCCCAGGGCCTGAAAAGTTAAGTGCCTTGCTTAGGGTCACACAGCCAGAGTGTGTCAAAGGCAGGACTTGATCACAGGTTTTCTCAACCCTGAGGCTGGCTCCCTATCTACTCTGCCACCTTGCCTAATAATCTCACTGTGTTCTACCCTGGTCCAGCCATAGCTGGAGAATGGTGCTCAGTTCTAGGAATCACATTTTAGGAAGAATAAAGATAAGCTGGAGAGCATCAAGAGAAGGATGACCAGGATGGTAAAGGACCTCAAGATCATTCCCTATGGGGATCAGTTGAAGAAAGTGGAGTTTTTATCCTGCATAGCTTTCAGGTAAAGGGGGATTTGTCTTGTTATGCTCAGCAGAACTGGGAGCAGTGGGGTAAAGCTGCAGAGAGGTAAACATCGGTTTGATGTAAAACAAAAAGAACGAATAAAACTTCCCAATAATTTGACCACAGAGGTTCCCAAAGTGGGTGATCACCCCCTGGGGGGCATTGAAATGATCCAGAGGGGCAGTAGTAGCCTTGAGTGCAATTGGGGGGGGTTGAATAAAATAAGAGGGTGGTGGAAGAGTAAGGAAAGAAGAGAATTTTGAAAAACTACGTTTCAGCTGTTGTGTGACAGAGTTGAAGTCGTAGTGATTACATTATTTTTCAAATGAACAAACAAAATGCAAGTTATAACTGACAAAGGGGTCAAGTCCACTGACAGGTGTTAACAAGCAAGTGCTGGCAGACAAACGCGTTGCCATTGTCTGGAAGTCCAGCATGCAGCTTCAGGAATATGTGCATATAATGACTTGTTTACAATAGGTACTATAGGGTTACATGTGTCATCAAAATTTTAATGCAGGAAAAAACATAAATTTGCAACAAATTATTAAATTTAAGATGCATCATTTAAAAATACATATTTTATATTTTTTAAAATGACATAAATTTAAAAAGAAAGTATATTTCCAGGGGGGCACTGAGTAATGTATTTTGAAGGGGGTGGTGGGCCAAATAAGTTTGGGAACCTCTGAATTGGAGGGATCCAAAAGTGCAGTGGCATCCTCAGGAGGGAGTGCACTCTCTCTCACTTGAGGTCTTTGAGCAAAGTTTAGCCATTTGTTAGGTGCATTGCAGAGATCTTCCCTAACCCCTCTTCATTCCAGTGCCTTCCTTCTATTAATTATTTCCTATTTATCTTATCTGGGGCAGCTAGGTGGCACAGGAGTCAGGAAGATTGGCCTCAGACACTTACTAGCTGTGTGACCTTGGGCAAGTCTCTTAACCTTGTTTGCCTTGGTTCCTCTTTTGTCAGATATGCTGGAGAAGGGAATGGCAAACCACTCCAGTATCTTTGCCAAGAAAATTCCAAATGGGGTCACAGAGTATGGGACTGGACTGAAAAACATCTTAACAACATTTATCTTATCTGTAGTTTATTTGTACATAATGTAGATTGTAAGCTCCCTGAGGGAAGGGACTTTTGTCTCTTTTTTGTATCCCTATCACAGCACAGTGCCTTGCATACAGTAGGTATTAATAAATGTTGATTGATTAAGAGGATCCTTTTTCAGGTGGGGTGGAATCTGATGGCCTCTGAGGTCCTTCCAACTCTGATACTATGGCTCTATAATGGAAGACAGAATTAAAGCTAACATAGAATAATAGCAACACTAAGATGAAAGTTAACAGGGATAAACGCAGTCCTCCAATCTGGGTTAAAAATTAATTGCTCACAGAATTGAGGTAGCCCCACCTTCCATTTGCAATATGTTGTTCTTTCCACAGGTGAGTTGCAATGAGTAGAATTTATAAGAGAAAAAAAATTGATATGGCAACCAATCTTCTTGCCTATTCTGGGCATCTTTAACACTATCAACATTTGACAGCCATCATTTGTGGGCAGAAAACCATGTCAGGGGAGATACAAAGACAAAGCAAAATACTGTCCCTGCTCTCATAGGGTTCACAGTCTGGAAGGGAGGGAATGACATAAATAACTATATTAACTAACATCTGACTCATATAAGGAGTTATTTTTCTTCCCTTTAAAGAACCTGCAGCAATTACCCTGAAACAACCTACTAATAACCACAGGGATAGCAGCTCCTCCAAGCATCATCTGGTCTCAAACCTCTCCTTTATGGAAGTATATGATGAAGAAGCCATTGCTAAGGACAGGAGGAGGAGTTAGGGTGGGGCTAAGACATTTAACCTTTAAAGGACTTTGGACAAAATCCTAATATTAATAATGACTCATTATCATTTCCCCTAAACTCTGAGCTACTTCTCATCTGTTTAGATGGGCCAAGGATTTCTGTGCAGCCATGACTAACATGGCTCATGTCCAAAGTTTCAAAGTTTCAAAATTCTCCCTCTAAGAGATCTCAGTCCTTATCATGCAGTTCCTTGGGAATAACCAGGTACTAGGTTTTTCTAAGGAGAGGGATCTATCAGCCAATTTTTTTTGGATCCTTTGAGTCAAACTTGAAAATGGCAGCCTTTCATTTATACTGATTTTGTTTTGTTTTGTTTGTTTGTTTCTTTTTTTGGGGGGGGCTAGGCAAATGGGGTTAGGTGATGTGCCCAGGGTCACACAACTAGTAAGTGTCAAGTGTCTGAGGCTGGATTTGAATTCAGGTCCTCCTGACTCCAGAGTTAGTGCTCTATCCACTGTGCAACCTAACTGCCTCTGATGCCATCTTTGCAACCTGTATCCCATAGTGTTAGTCATCATAGGGGGCAGACAGACCTGAATCTCCTTGAGGAAAGGGCCTTACCTTCCTAGATTCCTATAATTAACAAGTATAAATAATATTTCATTAAATATGAATATGTTGGTGGGTTTTATTAAATTCATGGGCAGTCCCTCCTCCCATGTACATTTCTAAAATGAGAAAGTTGAAATGAAGGGCAGTTGGTAGACACACCTACCTTCCAAAAGCAAACACCACCAAACCCACAGTGATGTTCTTCTTTTTGTAATAATCCTCTAAGACTGACTTACGGTAAGTTCCTTCCCACACGATAGGAGCAAGCCAGTCAGTTACTGTTTTAACATATGGGCGTCTTCTGTTGGATAAAACAACAATGCAAATTGAACTAATTTCTCTTTTACTGAGACAACACCAGATGTTATCCAGACAAATGAGCAAAATGAAGAATGGCATGGGATTATGCTTCCTGAGTCCAGCTTTCAGGGTTTCCTTAGGAATAGAAAGTCTTAGCATTTCTCAGATCATTAGCATATAAGCCAGGGGTTGACAATCTTTGGCATGGAGGCAATGAGTGGCATCTGAAGCATTTATGGTTAGCATCTTACTTTTAGCAGTTCTTAACCTGGATTCCATATAATTTGTTTTAGTGTTTGGAAAACTATCTTAATATAATCTTTTTTTTAGCCTATTTGTTTTTGTGGCCTTTTGGTTATATATTAAAGACATTATTCTCATAAAGCGTTCATAGGCTTCACCAAACTCGAAAGTTAAGAAGCCTCTGGATGGTCTTTTTTTCCACCCCTTCTGCTTCTCTATTGGTTTTCCCCCCCTCCCTCCTGTCTTTCCTCTGATCTAGTTCTTACTATCTCCGCTGCTTGTGTTACGGGCCTGACATTGATCCCCTTGGGCAACTGTTGGCCTGGTGGGTAGACCGTTGAAGAGGAAGTAACCATAGGATTTAGAATTGAAATGACTTTCATAATCATCTAGTCTAACCTCCTCTTTTTACAGATGGAGGAAGTTGTGGCCCAGAGAGATGATTTTCCCAAAGTCACACAGCTCCTAAAGAGCAGAGCTGGGATTTGAAAGCAGGACCTCAGATTCTAAATCTAGCGCAATTCATACCATGTTATGGCACTCTCATTAGCATGAAGAGTAAGATATTTATATTCACATTGCACCAAAGGCAACAGAAGCACCTCTCTAAGACTGTAAGTTGGAGAGGGGAGGTGCTGATCTGCATTGTTGGAAGGTTTTTTTTTTTTTCATTTGGGAGTTCTCTATACCAGTGAAATCACAAGCCCTAGCCCTAGCCCTAGTATTGTGCCTAACCCCATCCTTATCTCTATCGCCAAAAATAGTTGGGAGAAAAAAAGGAAAGGAAAACCTAATCAATTTCAATCCTATCAGAAAAAAAATTATTGCTATTTTTTATTTTTATATCACTTTCATATATCCCATTCCTCTTGAAAGCCATCCTTTGTAACAAAGAATAAAAAAGAAATGAGAAGAAAAAGGTAGTTCTGTAAAACTAACACATCTACCAAGACCGATTATATATGGAATGTTTCACACCTATAGTCCCTTATCTCTGCCAGCAAGGGAAGGAGGTAAATTTTTTTCCTTGTTCTTTGGAGCCAAGTTTGGTCAGCATATTTACACAGCTTATCCCCATCAGTTTTGATTGTGACAGGTGTTTCCAGGGAATTACATTGTTTTCTAGGACACCATCTTTATTAACAGTCCTAGGCCTGACTGGATGAAGCAGGAAATAGCATATAACCTCTGATACCTCTTTTAACTAGAACATCTCTCTCTGCAACAGTTTTATTAGTCCTGGACATTCTCACTCTCTCTCTCTCTCTCTCTCTCAAAAAAAACACATATCACCCTCCTCTCAGCAATGAGGTGAGAGTTTACTGGGGCATAAAGTTGCATACCTTATCAGCAGGGAGTAGGGGTGAGGTTACATTGCAATTACTCTCTGGGGGCATCCATGAAAGAATATGAACTAGAATCACACAGGATGAGAAAGCATACATATCTCATATGAACTCTGAATCGCCTTATCCCAACTCTCACTCTCATTGACAAGTATGGGGCCCAGAGAAAGACTACATCTTCCTCTCAGTGTTCTGGGGTACCTCTGATTTGTTGGAGCTGATTCTCTAATACCATTGGCTTGAGCCCCTACCATGTTCTTCTCCCTACCCGAGATTATCAGCTGAGAATCATTACAGTAAGCCAGCCTCAAAGAACTTTTAGAAGGGAGTATTTGCCAAGGTGAAACAGTAAAAACAGTTAGTGCAAGATATTTCCCTCACTAAAAATCTGTGACATACTCTTTCATAAATAGATACAGAGTCTAGGGGAAATTGCACTCAAGCTTAGAGAGAATGTGTGCTAAAGCACAACACCTAATTGCTAGAAATCCATTTCTCTCATTTGGGGGTGCTCAAGAAGTTCCCCTTGTAGTTTCTTTGCTGTGTTCCTTGTGAAACCATGAATCTATATCTAGTCTATCCCTGGCTCCCAATGCAGACACTTTGGTCAGCTGATCTAGAGGTGCCATTAGGATACATAGGAAGATGGGAAGTCTAACATCTTCTGGACCCTCCAAAGTCCTTCTTTGGCCAAAGATGGCGCAGTGGGGAGGAGACCTAGACCAAGCCTGAATTTATCCAGGATCTCTCCTTCTCCCTCATCCTGGTGGTTCTGCCTCAGGGATTTTACAGGAATGTCCAACTTGGTCTTCCCTCTGGAATGACTGCCTTCTCAACTCACTTAATAATTTATAGATGAATGCTAGGACATGACTAAGTTTCTTCAACCTAGCTGAACTCTCCCTTCTTGTGCAATGTCACTCCAGTTCCAAGTACTTTTTGTTCTTAGTCTAAAGCCTATAATTGATTGATTGGCTGACTATTTTCAGCTGGTTAAGGTCTCAGGCTATCATCACTTAATTTAAGATGTTTTGATTAAGTAAATCAATCAATATCACCTTACCCATGGATGGTCATGATAGTGAACATACCTCTCTCAGAGAAGATCTAAATATTGAATGAATATTTGTCTTTCCTATTTCATTAGGTTTTTTGTAACGATCATGATATCATAAGCTCATGGATTGACAAGTAAAAAGGATTTTCTAGGTCAGTTAGTCCAACCCTTGCGTCTTGTAAATGAGGAAGCTGAAGGCCAGGTCAGTTAAATAACTTGAACAAGGTAACACAAATAATAATCGGAAGAGCCAAAGTTTGAGCCCTGGTCCTCTGACTCCAAGTTCAGGGCTATTTCTACTGAAAAAGTCAGTGTTGTTTCCACCTTCTGGGTGGTATTTCAAGTATTTCACAGACAGGGCTACCCAGAAGCAGTCTATTACATATATGATGTATATAAAGCACTTTGTAAAGAAGAATGCATATGGCAACTATTATTATGTGATTTCCTGGCCCTGTAATCTGCACCCATTTCCTCTCGAATGTCTGCTGGTAAATTAGGTCAATTCAATTCCTTTGTCATAATCAAATTTAATTCAAGATTTATTTATGTGACTGCCATGTAAAAGGTACTGTGCCCTGATTAACCTTACCCCAACACTGATCCCTCCTTTTTACCCTGCATCTCAGGAACACACAGGGCAGGTAGGTGGCACAGTGGATAGAACACCAGGCCTGGAACCAGGAAGACCTGAATTCAAATCTGGCCTCAGACACTTACTAGCTGTGTGACCTTGAGCAAGTCATTTAATCCTGTTTGCCTCAGTTTAATCATTTGCAAAATGAGCTGGAAAACGAAATGGCAAATCACTCCAGTCTCTTTGCCAAGAAAATGCCAAATGGGGTCACAAAGAGTCAGGCATGCGTGAAAGGACTGAACAAGAATAACAACTCAGGAACACAAGACAGACTGGCATGAGCTGTTAGCGGTCGAGTCCCTGAGTGGTGAATAAGCCTCTCTAAATAAACGTCCCTCTCCTATCTCGCCTTTCTCCAGTGCTGCTGCCAACACGTGATACCACTTGCCAGGTGCTGCCCTGAGTACTTACTTCATACAGGGCAGAGTTTTTGTTCTTACCTGGGTCTAAACCAGTCTGACAGTTGAAGATCACGGGACTGATGAGGTGTTTTCGGCTGATTCATCCTGAGTGCAAATGGAAAAGTAAAGATGGTGATTATGGGACTGTTGGCTACCATGTGGTTACATTACATTTGTAAATGTCTGTCAGATCAAACAATTCATTGTAAGACATCGCACACATTTTCAATTTGATTCAGAGCCCTGAGCTAGGCAGTGGAAATGCAAAGATAAATGAGGTGTGGGCCTTTGAGTCATGGGAATTTCCCACCTTGTAGGAACTCTGGCACAAATGCTAAGTATAATAGAAGAGAGAACATGAGTGTAAGAGAGATTAAAAACAGATTGTTTTGTGAAGCTCATGGAAGGAAGAAAAAACATTTTCAACCATAGGGGATCAGGGAAGACTTCACGGAGGAGGTAGCATTAGACTTGGGCCTTGAAGGATGGGTAAGATTTCCTCTCTGAGTCTGTTTTCTCATCTGTAAAATAATGGCAATTGGATTGTAGATGATCTCTAAGGTGTTAAATAATTTTGATGGAGGGGAGGGAAATCCAGATAAAGGGAATGAAACTAACTAAAGTCATGGGGGTAGGAAAGCAAAAGAGGTCCCAGGATCACAAACTTAGAGCTGGAAGGAATTTTAGAGATAGAACATTTAGTTTAACCTCATCATTTTTTTTTACAGATGAGGAAACTGAGGCCCAGAGAAGTTAAGTCACTTTATGGCATAATAGGGTCATAAATTTAGAGCTAGAAGAAACCTCACAGAATACCCAATCTAATACTCTCATTTTATAGAAACTGAGTCCCAGGAATATTAAGAGATTACTTGCCCAAGCATTCAAGCCCAAGTTCTCTGACAGTAAGTAATCTTTTTACTTCACCACGCTGTCAAAGAGAGAATAGTACATAGTCAAGTTTGAATGGAGTTTAGTGTAGACACAGAGGAAACAAGGGGAAGGTCTAGTGTGGATAAGCTGTATTAAGGTTAGAAAGGTAGGCTGCTTCTAGACTGCAGGATGCTTTGAATATTAAGTGAAGGTTAAGTTAAAAGAAAAATCCAACTGGAAGACAAGAGGACAAGTAGCATCTCTCCTAGACTCAATTCCAAATGTACCAGATGCTAGGAGCATTTTACTTTGACCAGGGTCTAGCATGCTTCCCTTTTTGGCATCCTGGTAGTAAGCAATGGGCTATACCCTATCCACTTAGCATCATAGGTGTTAGCCTGAGAAGGGACCTCAGAAATCATTTTATAGAGGAGACTTAGATGCAGAGAATTTATACAAAGATCATCCATTTAAGTAAGAGCCGAAGCCACTTATTTAAGAGGATTCTAAACCCAGTACTCTCCCAATAGGAAGATGGGAAGTCTAACATCCTCTGGACCATTTCTTATGAAAAGAAACTGATTTTATTGTTGTTGTTCAGTCCTTTCATTTGTGCCCAAATCTTTGTGACCACATTTGGGGTTTTCTTGGCAAAGATGCTGGAATGGTTTACCATTTCCCTCTCCAGCTCATTTTACAGATGAGGAAATTGAGGCAAATACAGTTAAGTGACTTGCCCAGGGTCACACAGCTAGTAAGTGTCTGAGGCCTATTTGAATTCAGATCTTCCTGACTTCAGGCCCAGAGCTCTATCCCCTATGCCACTATTAAATTTGTGCCTAGGCAAGTCCATCTGCCTTGAATCATAAGAGCCAATCTTTGCACCCGCTGAATCACTGAGCACTTCTGAGTACCATATGCTGGTCCTCTTGTCTTCCTGAAACCCTGAAGGCTTTTGATTCTTTGTTAAATCCTCCCAAGTTATTTAAAGGGTTGTCATATGGAAAAGGACTTTTCTGCTTATCTCTCCAGGGTAGAGCTGGGAACACCATGGGAAAATTGCAAGGAGACACAGGAAAAATTCCCTCACACTGAGAGTTGTCCAAAAATAGCTTGAGCTTTCTCAGGAAGTGCTAAGTTGTCTATCTCTGGAGAGCATCAAGTAAATGCTAATTATCCGTTTTAGGGGGATGTCGTAAAACGTGTACTGTTCAGATATGCATTGGCTTGATGACCTCTGAAGTTCCTCATAGCTCTGAAATTTTGTAAGTCTCTGATCCCTCCCTTGAACTTTCACTGGTACTTCATAGACTGGGCCAGTTAACCTCCAACTTCTAGAATCTTGTTCCTTGAGTAGAATGCTTGAATTCATTTCTAGACAGTTTGCCATGGTTGGGTCCAGATGCCCCTTCTGAAACTGAGAGGCCAGGGTCATTCTCTGCCAGGGCAACTTCAGCCTGCTGCCTCCCCAGGGCCCATAACAGCAGTAGAGCAAACTCCATTACTTAGCCCAGCAAACATAAAGACAACCCTTAACTGCAGCTGGTACTAAGATTCACAGATTCACAGGCTGTTATAGTTAGAGAAGAAACTTCTGGGAAGCAGCTGCTCAACCTCCTCATTTTACAATTTTCCCTTCCACATCTCGACTTTCCCTGTCATGGTTTCAGTATATTTTTGTCGGCATAAGACATCAAATGGGAATTTTGGGGAAGTCTTGTGGAAGCCACAGATGATGTGTGAAGGCCAGCAGACAACACAAAAAAAGTTTAGAAACTCAGAAATATATGTATTGTATAATATCGACATATTTTATGTTTTAATACCATGATAATTTGGACTTCTTCTCTGGTATGAAGAGAGGGCTAAAAAATTTTATGTGGATTTTCCAGATTGGGCAGGGGGGAAGGCGTGAGAGGCACTGAATCTCTAACCCCCTGGATGTGGAAGAGATAACTGTATACATAAGGAAACTGAAATCTAAAAAGATTAAGTGACTTGCTGAAAGTCACAAATTCAGTGAGTGGCAGAGCTGGGACTTGAACCCAGCTCTTTTGTGTCCCAAGTAAGTGACCCCGCACATGCAAAGCAAACACTGTTGTCATTGCTGTGCTGCACACGTGTGAATCTAGATGTAAAATGCGCCAATTGACTCAGCCTTCACAGGCTTCCACCATGACTGAATAACAATTTCTAAAGGGGAAATTTTAAAAGTTAAGCTAACCTTAATTGCCAGAGACCACCTTTGAGGCACAAGCCAAAAAGAAACTTGTGCATCATCCTCAGGAAAATGAGACCAATATGTGAAAATGCCCTCTGCTTGGATCCAGCTGCTGTGGGCAGGAAGCTTTAGCTGTGCCTTAACGCAGGGCTATTACACTCCTGCTGGCAAAACTCCCACTATGACCCCAAGCAGATTAAAATGTAATTGGAAAATGTGTAACAAAATTAATAAAAATACAACACAGCATAGGTAATGTTAGTTTCTGGGTTTCCAAGTCCATATATTACCTGCAGGTATAATTTTTTTTTTAAGTCTGATACTACTACCTTAAGCTACCAAGATCCTGGAATTGATTCATTAAAAAAAAAAAAAGACCAGTTACTTACTTCAATAAAGTAGCTGTTACAGCTATCTAAAAATGTTTCCAACAACAAAAGCTAATAAAAAGAGGATAATATGAAAAGTTTCCTCTTTTTCCTGAGAGTCAGAGGAAGAGGTAGAAAGTTATGTACTTGAGACAGTTGTAGCTGCTTCCCATTTGAATCCAAGATACATACGTTGTTATGTTTTCCCTCTCCACTTCACTCTCTACACAAATGCCAAAATACTCTGTCTCAGTCTCTCCCTGTCTCTGTCTGTCTCTCTCTCTCTCTTTCTCTGTCTCTCTTTTTCCTATCACTCTGCTCAAGGACTTCCAGTGTCTCCCTATTACCTCTAGGATGAAATGAAACTCTTAGCTTATTCTTTAAAGTCCTTTACAATCTGGCTCCAACCTACATTTCCATGTTTACTAAACATTACTCTCCTTCATGCTTAAATTCCAGCCAAACTCAGCATTCTCTTTCTTGCCTCTGTGACTTTGAATAGCTTGCTCCCCATGCCTGGAATGCATTCTCTCTCCACGGCCCCTCCTATGGGAGGCTTTATTGGATTCCCCCTAGTTTCAACGCTGTAACCTCTTCAAAATATCAGATGTTAAACCCCACCCCCACTCCTGTCCCCTACCCCCTGCCTCTTTCTCATTCTGTCTTTTTCATCCTCAGTTCTTAGTGGATGTGCCTGGTACACACTTTAAAATACTTATTGGATGGGATGCTACCCTGAGCTTTTTAGTGCCAGAGATAGGGCAAGATGTGGGAAAGGGGGAAGGCCGTGTTCATTTACCCTGAGTTGCTGTCCATTTAAAAATGTATACTATGACACTTCAGCTGATTGATTCAGTCATCAAAGGTAAAGCAAAACTGACATTCATTAGTATTTCATTATTACCTATCGACAAGTTCCTGAAAGATGATCCCCAAAGTTAGCAAAAACAGCAGGAAGAGAAGGATTTTATCTTTGGAGATCATTGTTCTCTCCTGGGAGGAAAAAAATGAACAGAGGAAGAGTAGATTACAATGAATTTGTAGTGAAATACAATCCAGCTTGCCTCCCCACCTCCTAAGGAAAGGAACTATTTATGACTATTAAATAATGGAATATTCTTGTGAGATGAGCTCATCCCAGATAACCCAGAAGTACCCCATTGGTTCAGGCTTCACTCTTCCTTCTCCTCTGCCCCCCCACCCTAGGCCAGGGTATACTCATAACCATATTTCTCCTATTACATTAGAGAGAGTCACCTGCCAGCTTGACAAGGTCTCTGCAGGTTGAATGTCGCCTCTGTGCCTAAGCACTTTTTTTGCAGAACTGGCCTAATTAGCTTCATGATTTGTCCATTCTGGGAACTACTTCTTTCCCTGTCTCTAAAAAGCAGTAATTTTATCTTCAGCTGGATTCTCTCTCTTGGAAAGCACCTTAAAATGTCCTAGTTTCTGCCCTGATGCTTCTGCCCCTCCCAGGGTCAAGCCACAGACATATTTGGATTTGTATAGCAGATCCAAAGGGGAAAAGATTAATATTTAAAACTGTGAGCCTTTTTACCCTTCCTTAGTCAGAATGGAAGATCCCAGGTGATCTGTTTGGGGAGAAATCAGGTCTGGATTCAATGCTGCAGCTCTGAGCCTTTGGTGAACTTTTGTCACAGAACCTCCTAAAAATGACATTCCAAGGATGCCAATACCAGGAGCACAGACATATAGAGGCATAGTGGAAGGGCTGTTGCTGTGGCAACATAGTTGGGGGTGTATCTTCCTCAAATGATGATGATGCTTTTTACCATGAAGTCCGCCAATCTTAATGCAGCTAGGTGGCACAATGGCTAGAGACTTATCTTCCTGGGTTTAAATCTGGCTTCAGACACTTAGTAGCTGGGTGACCCTGGGCAAGTCACTTCACCCTGTTTGCCTCAATTTCATCATCTGTAAAATGAACTGGAGAAGGAAATGTCAAACCACTCCAGTATCTTTGCCAAGAAAACCCAAAATGGGGTCGCAAAGTGTCTGACAATAACAGTCAATCTTGCAATTAAAAAAAAATGAACAGTAGCAGGAATTCCCTGATGCTGATGATTAATCTTGATCTGCCCCCTCCACCTATGAGCATCAATCGATGAGGATACACAGCAGCTGAACGGACACAGCATTATTTGGGTTTCTTTGGTCCCGCATTTCCTGGTTGTGTGTATGATTCCTTCTCTGACCATGCAAGAAACTTATAGTTGAGAGACAGAGACACACAAAAGTAGGAAGCATCAGAGACAGGATTTTCCCCCAGGTCCTCTGACTACAAAGCCATTGCTTTCTCCACTAGACCACATTGCTGCCTTCTTCCCACTTACTCCATGTTCATGCCCTTGGGTTAAGGCAAATGGGAGTAACTGCCCTCTTGGAGAAGTATTAGCTGACCAGTTTAAGTGTTGGTGTTAACCAATTATAAGCGTAGTAAGGTATCTTACCCCTGGAAGTTTGATTTATAAGAAATGTATCAGAAGCTAGATGAGCCTTTGTAAGGAAGTTTACTCCAGAAGTCTGTTTGCTGGTACCTGATTGGTTAAAGCCTTTTCCATAAGTAAGTTTCTATTGTTGACTTACAAGATGGAATGCTACAAACTAGAATTCCATTGGGAATTAGATTCCTTCAGAAAAGACTTCTGATTGGCCATGGAGGGCAGCTGCAGATAAGAGGTCCAGAAATATAATATTTATAAAAACAGATATTATTACAATGTCACATGACCAGTGGATGATGCCAATTGTGCCAGTACTAAACAATGATAAAGTGACATTTTGTGAAGACAAAAAGTATAGAATGAATAAGGCATTTTAGCAGTGTCTATATCCAGTGCCCAGAGTCAATCTTTTGCTGTTCTTGTGAGGAGAAAAGCCTTCAAAAAACTTGATCTTGCTCAAGCTTACTTATAATTGATGATCAATGATATAGATGCCCAAACAATCTGTTTTCAAGAGGCATTGAGTCAAGTCCTTTTATTTTGGAGTTTCTCTTTTCCTTGGATCTTCTTCTTCCCCTGAATCTCTCTTGGAGGCATAATTGGACTTATAGGAAATACCCTCCTATCAATTTGAGCAATCCAAAAGTGGACTGTTCTTTGAGAGAGTTTCTTGCTGCTAGAGATATTCGAAGTGACGGTGGTTGATCACTTGGTGAGGTGATTTATCCTTTCTATGGAGATTAGAGTATATATATATATATACAATTTCTGAGGCCCCCTTTGATTTGAGGTTTTGATGATTCTATGAAATATCTCATCATTCATAGAAGATTTTTTTTTTCTGGAAGAAATATGCTATTCCAATGATCAGTAATCATGTTATCTTGGCTGAAACATGCAGCACATCTGGAAATTGTTCTCAGGAAACATTTGCTAGAAGCTAAGTCTAATGGCCTGGAATGGACTTTATACTGAAAATACCATAAGGAAATACAGCACGTGCCAGATTACTCAAAATAGTATAACAAAGTTAGGGCTTTTGTTAGCAGTGACCAATAAATTATGGTCAAGACAACATATTGATTTTTCAGGACCATACCAGAGAAATAACTTGATTGTGTGAGATTCCTCAAAAGTGGTTTGAATTGCTCTCAATTCCATCTTATATCTACTGCAAGAATCACAGTTTTGCACTCATTCTTTTTCTTGCTTCTCTTTAAAAACAAAATGAACTTAACAAAACATTAATGAATACAAACATTCCTACAAGCAGAGAACAGAAAAACATGATCTTTCTTCTGGAGTTAAGATTAGTCCTTACATTCTTCAGATTTTTTAAGTGTTTCATTTTTAAAAATACTTTTCTTTTTTTACTATGAACCTGACAAATATCGATAAACAAGAACATTGCCATATGCAAAGAAGTATGTTTTTTCAACTCTCAGATAAGAATTAGGTTTGTGAGATAATAATGATAAAGAACTTAGCAGAGTGCCTGGCATATAGTTAGAGCTATATAAATGTTAGCTATTATTATTATATGAGAGTCTCACTCCTCACACTCTTTACTCCATATGTGTATATCACTTCATTTTTAGACCATCGTAATAGTGTGCTGATAGGTCTGCCTGCCTCAAGTATCTCCCCACTCCATTTCAACCTCTATTCAGCCATCAAAATAATTTTTTTTTTTAGGCAATTGGGATTAAGTGAGTTGCCCAAGGTCACACAGCTAGAGTCAAGTGTTTGGTCTGAGGCCGGATTTGAACTCAGGTCCTCCTGACTTCAAGGCTGGTGCTCTATCCACTGTGCCACCTAGCTGCCCCAATAATTTTCTTAAAGGGCAGGTCTGACCATGTCACCACCCCTACCCAAGAAACTCCAGTGACTCCCTGTTGTCTCCAACATAAAAAACAAAATCCTCTGTTTGTCATTCAAGGCCCTTCACAACATAGCCCTCCAACTTTCCAGTCCTACCATGTCCTCTTTGACCCAGTGCCACTGGCTTCCTGGCTGTTCCACGTATCTGGGATGTTCTCTTTCATCATCTCTGCCTACTAGCTTCCATCAAGTCACTACTAAATTCACTTTCATATGCACTAAAAGGCACCTTTTATAGGAAGCCTTTCTCAATCCCTTTTAATTCTAGTGCCTTATCTCTTTTAATTATTTCCTATTTATCCTGCATATAGCTTTTTTTTTTTAGTACACATTTGTTCATTTGTTATCTCTCCTACTAGACTGTGAGCTCCTTGAGGACTTTTCCCTGTTTTTTCATTCTCAGTGCTTAGCACAGTGCCCGGAACACAGTAGGTGCTTAATTAATGTTTACTGACTGATTGACTCAATTAAACCCCAAGTTGTAAGAGAGCATCAACACCTCCTCCTAATGCTGGTAATCAGTAGAGGGAGTACATGGATGGAAAATGGCTCACATATTTGTGAAGTGTGGAGTGACTGGGCTTGAAGTATACAGAGAACAGAGTGGGAAGAATTAAGATGAGAGCAAATTGTGTTGGGAGTTAGAGTAATTAGTGATGACTATATGTGACAACAGTGTGCAAGCTAAGAAAATGTGACTCACTGGAAGTAAATTGGGGTGTGCAATTTAAGGGTGTATTTGAGTCTTCAAACTTGGATCTCCAGAAGTTTCAGGGTTTTCCTGTAGGAGGAAGTCCTTTTAGGAAGGTTGATAGAGGATTCAGACAGTGCCTCTTGCCTATGACCAGGCACCTTGAGATGTTCTGAGCACTGTGCTGAAATTACTTTATGAGGGGCATTTCTAGCATACGGGAAGCCATGAAAGGAGTATCCTGGGAGATGTCTGGTATTCGGGTATCACGATGGTTTCTGCATTAGGAAAAGAAAACAGATAGGGTAAAGCTAATGAAGTTGGGATCTGAAAGTACATAATTATCCAGCTCTAGTCTCTCTCATGAGCTCCAGTTCCAATCACCCATTACCATCCACCTGGATGTCCCATGGGCACTTCAAACTTCCCCATTTCTGTTGGCCAATTATAAGCATTTATTAAGCAATACGAAGACATATTCCCCCATAAGCTCCTTGAAAGTGGAGATTGTTTCCTTCTTTGTATTTGTCTCCTCAGAACCTAATGTAACTTTCTGGCATACAGTATTTAATATTTATTTAATCAAGGCTTGTTGATCAATTCATTCATTCACATGGCCACCATTCATCATCCAGGCTTTCATTATCTCTGGCCTGGACTATTACAAAAGCATTCTAGTTGGACCCTTAGTTTATATTCTCCTTTTCAATCCATTTTACACACAGCTATTAAAATAATCTTCTTAAAGCACAAGTCATTTGCTCCCCTGCTCAATGACCTTCAGTGGTTCTCTATTGACTCTAGGATAAAATTTCAGCTCATTCACTTGGTATCCAAAGCCTTCCATAGTTAGGGTCCAGTCTATATTTCCAGGCTTATTTGACATTACCCCCTTCCCTCTGTGCCCTGCATCTTTATATTTCCACCAAACTGGCCTGTTGTTTTATCCTGAATTCAGAGTTCAGTCTCCTGCTTCTATGTCTTTATACAGGTTGTCCTCCAAGACCGTACCTTCTCCTCTATCAGCTAAGTTGAAAGAGCTCTCATTGACTTTGGAGTTAAGGGACACACATACACCCATACATATACAAATATACAATTGAGTATGCATATTTAAGTGTGTGTGTATATATATATATATATATATACATATATATTACATATATGTCTAGGTAATTCACATTTGGAGCTGTGCTTGTATATATGTATATGTATTTGTACACCTAGGCTGTTATACCTAGTAGGACTTCCATCTACCTACATTCTATAATTTGGTCTTATATAAGATTCTGTGGCAGATGTTACCACAGAGTTTTAACAGTCCTCTGAGAACGATATCAATTGAGTCATGAAACAAAAAGACATATATGCTCACCAAAGGTTTTTTTGCCAGTATCATAGAAGACATTTTCCTTAACATTATCTTTTCTTATTTTTTATATTCAAAAGAAAAATTGATTATTTTAACAATTTCACAGAGCAGAGAGAGAATACGTTCATGAAGGTGGGGGTTGTTTTATGAGTCAGAAATCATAGTAGTGTAGAGCCATAATCTCTATGGCTATATAGCTGGGTTTGAAAGGAAACTAAGCTTTCAGAAGAGAAAAAGTGATTTTGGAGAAAGTCAGGCCCCATAGAATAATAAAGTGACTGACATTTCTTCCTTCCTGCTCACCAGCTACTCACTCTTATACTTTTTATTATATCTCTATTACTACTCACTAACCTTTCTTCCCCCAATAAAAACCCTCTTTTGAAAGAAGAGGAAAAGAAATCAAGACACTGGCCACTTCTGAAAATGAATGTTTCATTCTGCACCTTTAGTCCATGACCTCTCTGCTAAGAGGCACCATCATTAATCTTCGGAAGTCATGATTGTGAACTTTTTCCCCTACCTACTTTATAATGTTATTATGAAACTCAAATGAGAAAATGGATGTAAAATTTTTTATAAAGTATAGAACATTAAATAAATATAGGCCCAAGTGTTCAGTGAAGTGCCTGTCCCATAGAAGGAACTTTATCAGTGCCCTTAACATTATTTTGATCATTATGTAATTTGTCCTCATGGTTCTGTTCAGTTCATTCCACATCAGTTTACATAAATCTTCCCAAGTTTCTCTGAATTCTTTTTGTTCCTCATTTTTTACTTCACAGTATTATTCCATTACATTCAAATATCATTATATTGAAAGTCAGTCACCCATTTTGTTCCTAGTTCTTCACTAAAATTGATGCTGTTATAAATATTTTTGTACATATAGGTCCTTTACCTCTTTTTTTTAAACTTCTTTGCTTATTAGTGGTATTGCTCAGTCATCTTTTTTGATGCACAATTTAGTGACTTTTGTGATATGATTCCTAATTGTTTCCTAGAATGGTTGAACCAATTCATAACTCCACCAAAAATGAATTAGTGTGACTCTCCTTCCATATCTACTCAAACAATTGTCATTTTTATTTTTTGTTATCTTTGCTATACTGATGGTGGTGAGATAAAATTCACAGTTTTAATTTGTATTTCTCTAAT